CAACTGCACAACATGCACACAACCCGAAAAATGTTCATCCTGTGTTAAAAACAAAGTTTTATTTGAAAGTGGACTTTGTCTTGATATTTCATATGTATTACAGTGTATTGAAATTTCAAACTCAAAATGCTCCAAATGCACATTCTGGCACTCACCTAATGATAACGGCACATTTTGTGACAAGAAGGCTGTCTGGTGGGTACTGCTGATTGTAGTGGTGTTTGCAATTATTGTGATGGCAGTTGTGATAACATCAATTGTGTGTGTTGTGTATTTTATTGAGAAGAAAATGCGACAAAAGAAGACCGAAAAGACAAGAACACTCTTTAAAATGAGTCGCTCAAACATCGCATTTGTATCACTTGGTGATGATATTGTTGTGAACAAAACGGAAGTTTCATTTGGTCAGGACGTCGATGTCAACACACAACAAAGAGAACTTTTATGTGTTGGCAATATTTCAAAGCACAATATAAAAATCCAAATCACAACTAAAAGTGCAACAGTCGAGAAATATCTACTTGAGTCAAATCCGAAGATAATAGTGTTGCCAAGTGGTGAGGCGTGTGAGTTTGAGATATTACTGACTTTGAAATGCACAACTAAAATGGATGAGAGTGTTTTGTTGGTTGCAAACTCATTCACAAAAAGAAAACCCATTTTAAAAGAAATTAAAATAACAGCAACTTCAAAACTGACGACACGACTTGATCCAGACGAGTTGGTAGAAGACAAGAAACTTGGGGAAGGCTCGTTTGGTATTGTTTTTAAAGGAATGTTCAGGGACAGTGTCGTTGCAATAAAAAAGATGAAAATCAACACTGAAGACGATTCTCAAAAAATAGAGTTTGAGAAGGAAGTTGAGATGTTGGACAAATTCCGAAGTGAGTATATAGTCCACTTTTATGGCGCAGTCTTTATACCAAACAAGACGTGTATGGTCACCGAATTTGCACAATATGGGAGTTTACAAGACTTGATAAAACACAAAACAAGTAAAGAAATAGACATGAAACTTCGAGTTAAATATATGATAGATGCGGCTAAAGGTATTTCATATTTACACACAAATGGGATATTACACAGAGACATCAAGCCAGACAACATTTTAATATTTTCACTTGATGTAAATTACAACGTGAATGGTAAGTTGACCGATTTTGGAAGTGCAAGAAATGTGAATATGATGATGACTAACATGACATTTACCAAGGGAATTGGTACACCAGTTTATATGGCGCCTGAAGTGCTAAACAAAGAACACTACAAGAAACCAGCTGATATCTATTCTTTGGCAATAACTATATATGAAGTGTTTGGGTGGAGTAATGCGTATCCAATAGAAACATTCAAATTTCCATGGAAAATCGCTGAGTTTGTGATGTCTGGAAAACGACTTCAAAGAAAAGAAAATATACCAGAGAAGTTGTACCAAATAATAGAAAAATGCTGGAAACAAAATCCGAAGGAGAGAACGACTATCATAGATTTGATTGATTTAATTCAAAGAGAATATAACATTTTATAATTAATCAAAATGTTGTTTAACACTTAGGACGTTTTATTAGTAAAGATTAAACTAATCGCTAATTTTTAAATTATTGGTTTTCTGTTATTTAACTAGTTTTATAAAAATAGAAGGCATTTTGAATAACATTTTAAATACAAAACCTTTTATCAATGCATTTTTTAATTTATAATTTATCATTCAACTCTTAAATTGTATTTTGGACAAATTATACAACAAATGAAATAAACATTCTTGAATTTAACTTTTGATTTTGAGTATGTTTGAATCCAACAAACAGCAAAATTATAACGAACCACACAAAATATATATCATATCAACCTTTTTGAAATTTGTTTGTTGCAATGTTTTATTTTTTGTATTCATTTTCACAATAATATTATAGTCTATCCAACAAGAAATATATTGCAACAAATATAGTGTTTTTTGAATTAAACAACAATGAACGTTTTTAATACACTTTTAATGTATATAGCTACTTTATTTCAAAACAAGAGAAAGTCTTTTTCTTCTGGCCTTTGGAAGAATGAGTCTGAGTAACCAATCGAGAGTCTCCTCCCGATTTCCACTTTCAAGCCACAAAAGCATCCTTCCCAAACACAGAAACTGCAATCCCCCAAAGAAAGTTTTTCCGTCTTGGGGAGATGAACAACTTGTTAAGTCTCTTGGTGGTAGAGATATTTACATGTTGAGGAAATTGGGAAAGATGTTCTTAAAGTGTTCAAA